GCGGGGCGGGCGCGGGCGGCGCGTGCGGGCGCGCACCCCGGCGCAAGGGCCAGGGCCGGGGCCGAGCGAGCGCGGGAAGGGGCGCGCGCCGCCCGCCGCGCCGCACTTGTCCAACGTGGAGAACCCAAATACCAGTTTCAAACACTTGGGAAACATTCGGCCCCCCGCACCGCGCATGCGCCCCGCCCCCCCACCGCCCCTTCCCCGCGGGCCCCGCCCCCGCGGCATCACGCCCCTCACCGGCCCGGCAGTGCGGGGGTGTGGCTTTGTCTGTCACTTTGGCTGGGGAGGGGGTCGCGGGGACAGGGTCGGCGGGCGAAGCGCAAACTTTACTAGGAGTTTTGCACTGGAAGCAGAGCCTGTCGGGCGGCAATGCAGAACCGCCGGGGAATGTGGGGAGCAGCTGGCCCCGCCGAAGAGCCGGTCGGAACCGATTGAGTTGTGAGACGGCGGCCGCCGAGGCCATCGCTCGCCCAGGGTGTCACCTCCCTACCCACACCCAGCCCCTCATTCCGGTGACCCGCCGCGGAGCGCGGCATAAATAAGGCCCGAAACAGACTGGCAACACCGAAACCCAATCCACTTGCCGCCCTCACCTCAGTGGGCCAATCAAGACGAGGGAGAGGCGGGGCGAGTGGGGATAACTCCTCCCAGGCTCCGACTACGAGAAACCCGCGTCCTACGAGGGGCGGAGAGAGAGGACGGGCCGTGCAGGGCGGAAGTGATGGCGCATGCGCAATTGCCGGGAAGGGGGGGAGACCTACCATTAGGCGGCCGGACCACCGCTCCCAGCAACCTTAGCGGCTCGCGCGCTTGCGCGGTCTTCACCGTCTTCCCTTTGTGTCGACGGCCGGAGTCCGGTGCAGAGCGGCTTGGAGACAAAGGGGCCCAAGAGGGGAGCTGCTTTCCGGACTGGGCTCCCACAGAGGGCGGGGGATCCCGACCCCTTCCCGACTGTGCCCTAGGATCCGCTCTCATTAGAAAGACCACCCAAAGCGGGGCGGGACAAGCGTCCGGTCCCGGGGGTCCGGGGCCCTCTCCCCGTACCGTCTCGGCCCCTCCCCCCCCCGGCCTCTCTCCCCACCCTAAGTTCCCGAATTCGGGCTTTCTGAAAAGCCCTGCGCAGACGGTCCCGTTGCCTAGGCGACGGGCCCGCGTGCCAGCCCGCTGCTTCCGGCTGAGGCCCCGCCCCGTGGGCGTGGCCGCGCTCCGCCTTTGTCCGGCGGGCACGGGCCTGCTGCTCCGGGCACGGGCCTCCTCCGCCGGGCAGCCTCCCGGGCTGGCCTCGGCGCGCCGCTGTGCTGTGCTGCTCACGGTCTTCCTTCCCCCAGGTGGGCGGGGTGTCCTGTCGCGGTCTCTGCGGGCGGAGCTGGCTCCGCTCGGCCTGCCGGGTTCGCCCCGGCGGAGCGGGTGCCCTGGGGCCTGCGGCGTGCTCCTCCGCAGACTGCGAGCCTGGCGCTCGCTTGCTCCAGGAGGCGTGCTGTCAAGACCCAGGCCGTTGGCAGTTTTTTTAAAGTTACTGTATGTTAGCGGCGCCTGGCTGGCTCACTCGGTGGTGCCTATCGGGGTGTGAGGTCCAGCCCCCCCCTTGAGTGTAGAGATGACTTAAAATCTTTAAATAAAAAATAAATACATAAATAGCAATAAAAGTACTGTATGTAAGCCAGTAGTATTTCCGTCAACCCAGTGTAGATAAAATAGACTCTTATCCGCGGGTGGCGCCTTTTCAGATAGGGATGCCGGTGGAGCCGAGGACCCTGACGAGCTGTTTTGTCTTTGAAATGGATGGTTCTCATCTGCGGAGATAAACGACCCCTGATACTAACACTTTGAAGTAAATAGATTGCTCTTCACTCTTAAACCCCTTCATCCCTTCCCCATAGCAAAAGAACTTCAACTTTGATATTGGGAGAATGGTTATTTTACTTACGGATTCGCACTTCTCCCAGTCTCGGCCTGGTTTAAAGCAAATGATGAATGAAATTTCATTTAATTTTGTACAACAGAATTCGTTGGCCACTAGTCTGCAGGAGAGGCTTGAATACTATGACATGTGGCAACGGGGACGTTCTATGGAATAGAGAAACAATAACGAAGTTAAATAAGAAAAATAATTATTTTTCTCCGAGACCATATAATTTTAAAGTACCATGGCAAGAAAGAAATAAGTTCTTTGAATCCTTGCATTTATTGGCCCTAGAATGAGTAGTGTTTGTCTGAATTTAAGAATAAAGGTTAGAAATAACTTACCCCTTCCAACGATAATCAAGCCAGCTTGAACCAGGTTATCTTTTTTAAAAATCACGATGTTATCTGAATAATGATTCCTTTCATGTTTTCATGGACTCCACAGACACAGAAACAAAAGGTTATCTTAATCATTGAACGAGAAATATTTCATGAGTGCCTACCAGGTGCTAGCTACTGTTTATGCACTGGGGATGAGGAGCTTACATTCTATAAGTTTACCTTGTGGGCTAAAAGGTCAGAAGATATTTTATTTACTAGCTTTACAAAGTTATTAAAATACATATCGATGACTTCACAGTTTTCTGAACAAGATAAGAGACTAAGAGCTGAAACCTAACTATGACCATGCATTTTAAATATACTACTGGGCGCCTGGGTGGTTCAGATGGTTAAGCGTCTGCCTTCGGCTCAGGTCATGATCCCGGAGTCCTGGGATCGAGTCCCGCATCGAGCTTCTTGCTCCTTGGGAGCCTGCTTCTCCCTCTGCCTCTCTCTCTCTCTCTCTCTCTGTCTCTCATGAATAAATAATAAAATCTTAAAAAAAATAAAAAATAAAAAAAAATAAATATACTACTAAGGAAACATGTTTAATTTTGAAGATACATTTAATTACCTTGGTTGTTTCGGTTCTGCTCTTTGGAGTGTGTTGGAAAAATGGATACTAAATTTTTTTCTGAATTATATTTCTAGTTTAAGTGGTGATGCTCCAACCCATGGGAGTAAAAAATAAGAGGTGAACTTAAAACTTTTGTGTTTTGACGTGCTTAAAAAATAAATGCTAACATGTTTCTCTCAAACTTGAAATACCTCAAGCGGTATGCTACCTTATCTACTGTACTTTGAATTTGCAAGATTTGGCCTTGAAAGAAAGTGTATTACTGAGAACTACCTTTTTGGTTGTTGTCATTAAGGACTAGGAAATGGCATTCAAGATACTTTGGAATCATTAATTTTAATACACTTCTTTGTTCTGGCCTAGATTGGGGAGGAGTCACTTCAAAGTCACAGGATTCTCTTTTGGGGAGTATATTTGTTAATAAATGTTCCCAGTCATTTTTACTTTACTTTAATATTCAACCTGCAAAAAGGACTCATTTTTAATCACCATTAAGTAGAGGGTTATGTTTATTATTGGTTTGATGATTTCAGAAAGACTAAGTAAAGGTAGAATTGCTGCCAATAAGGGCTGACCACCTTACACAACTGGTTTTCTGAAGACAAAAGATACCATTGTTAATTTAAAAGTCATGAATTTCTATGGCCAGTTCCAACATACCACCTGTCCAGATTCATGTGCAGGATTTGGTCTTCAGTGTTACTAAGTCTGTTTTCAAGACTTTTAGCTTTTTTGGGGAGCCTGGGTGGCTCAGTTGGTTAAGCGACTGCCTACGGCTCAGGTCATGATCCCAGGGTCCTGGAATCGAGCCCCACATCGGGCTCTCTACTCAGCAGGGAGTCTGCTTCTCCCTCTCCCTCTGCTCCTGCTCTCTTACTTGCTCACACTTTCTCTCAAATAAATAAATAAAATCTTAAAAAAAAAACCAAGTTTTTCCCTTGAATTCTGTGTGTTGACACAGATGGCCTTTTGTTCATTTTCTTATTTTACTAGCACGTCTAGTACCTGGACCAGAGCTTTCTCCATCAGATAATTCACTGCGGAAATTTCCTCCCACAGGCACAACAGGTGGATTTCATCACAGATTCATTGGGCAGCTCTTTTCTGAATGCAGTGCTGGAACAGTGAGGGAGGGAGTTCAAAAGAATTTACAATCTAAAGTACTGGGGAGAGAAATATATACATTGTACTAGACACAAGGACTCTTACAAAAACTTACCAAGATAGGGATGGAGACAGGCAGTGAAGGAGGGATAATAACTCCAGTAGAACTTTGAGTAGTCAGGGAGCCTGTGCTTACCACTGATGGAGAGTTCTCCTAATTCTGAACAATAGGTTCTAATATTTTAGCTTTATGCATTAGACCATAGTTTACATTAGACTACAATTTAGCTTGAAACATAATTGCAGTATTGGACTCCAGGGATCTTGAAAGAAAAAAAAATGAACTGTTCTAGGAACATACTGGTTTGTCTCTGCTTAAGCATTTGCCTTTCAATAGAACAACCAAAACAAACCAAAAAAAAAAAACCCCAAAAAAAAAAAAAAAACTGAGGAATCTGTGTGGTTTTGAGGAATGCAAAAATAAAGGGGATTTCTTTTTCTTCCTTCCTTCCTTCCTTCTTTTTCTTTCTTTCTTTCTTTTTCTTTCTTTCTTTCTTTTCCTTCCTTCCTCCTTCCTTCCTTCCTTCCTTCCTTCCTTCCTTCCTTCCTTTCTCTTTCTTTCT